CTGTAGGTACACATAACTCTAGAGTCTTTCTTTAATATATTGTTACTGACAGGTAGACATTAATGAAAAATGTAGTTTTCTAAAAGTGACATCCATGGTCACCTTCCTGATTGGTGGTAAAATAAAGCCATTAGCATTGGCTAAAGAAGGAGATTTATTCTATCTAAAATCTCAATCCGACTTCACTTACCATCTCACATAATTTTCATGCATGAATCCTCTAGTCCATATCAAATAATCTACATTTGAATATTTGATTAAACTGTCCCCTCAGTTTTGACCTCCTCCTGCCATTTCCTCCTGCCATCTCTCCCTAGTCCTACAGAATACAAGAGTAGCACATTACTCACACAGTTTTAATATGCTCCTGCAACTTTTCATTTCATTGTACCTATCAGTTTTAAAATACTTTTTGCTTTATATTGCATTGTTCAGAGCTTTTTACATGCAGGTTGTAAATTTATACACTCTATCATTTTTTTATTTATACATTCTATCATTTCTCTTAAATGACACTTTAATTTCATTGATGATGACAACGGTCACCAGGACTCTTTTTTTTAAATATCCCTCTGAATGTATCAAACAGTATCTTGCATCTGGTGCATGTTTAGAATACCTTGCTCCATTAATAAATGTTAGGTTGTATTAATTTCTTCTTGAAGCTAAGGTGTTTTAGATGGCACTTTGAAATTGCCAGGGGATAATTTAGGATAAGAATTTGATGGTTTTTGACATAAGAAAAATGGCCTTGATACAATCATTAGGGTAACACTAACTATTATGATCCATTTAAAATTTTTCAAAGTTAGTATTGGTCAGCAATAACACTAAACCATCTCATGAACCCGTTAGAATCCATAAATGTTACATGCCTTTCTTATAGGATAGAATTCCAAGAGCCCTTCAATGCCCATTTTCTCTATTGATTTTCACCTCAGAGTTTCAGAAAGGAATTATTACTAAAATAGTTTTTGATGTCTTTGAAGTGTTGGGCAAAAATTTTCATCTCCATGAACTTAGCAAATATATAAATGCAGTCAGTCCTCCCTCGACTAAGACCTTCTTCCCATTTATTCATCAGTGCTTCAAAGACTATGTTATTTTTTTCTGATTTATTCTTTCATTAAAAAAATTGCATCACTACAACTTTCACTGGCATAAATCAGAGTAGTATATATGTCTTTAAAAAAGTAGGAACATGGTAAAAAGTACTGAATTAAATATTTTCATTTTAAATTTATGTATTTAGAAACTGAAAAACTGATTGGGTTCTGGGAGTGCTGGTTTTATCTCCAAATGGTTGTGAGTTACTTTTGGCTGTCAGGTTTATGAGATTTCTAATCTCATATTGGAAAAAGATTTAACTGCTGCAAATGAGGTAGAAAATAAAAATTTCAGTGGTTTTGTTTTCTTCAGATAATGTTTAATTTGGCTTTAATCCTAAAGCATAAAAGAGAGAGAGAGAATTCAAATTTGAGTCATATATGTCCCAAGAACTATCCTGAGATTTTTACCTATTCATGCAGTTGAAAGCCAAGTAAGTCAGTGGCATAACCATAGAGGCTAAGTACATTTTGACCTTGACACATGGGAGTTTTCCCTCTTTCACTAATACTCAACTATGGAGTCCCAACTTGTTGAACAGCTGATCAAGCACTGTCCACATTAATAGACAAGTAAAGACTTACACCTAAAGTTTTGCATTCAAACATGTTCCATTAACATGTTCAGTTAAATGGCACTTCTTGATGACTCTGATATGAGGCCAGATAAATTTTTATATCCAAAATATATATTCAGTTAAACTCAAAAGAAGACATTAGTTCAGACTTATGGGTAGAGCTCTGTAAGAAAATGATGATTAATTTTGATTAAGGTTGCTGCTTTGATGAAAAAGATGAACTCAATACTCTTCCTTTCTTCTACCCAGGTTTCTGATCATTTTGTCTGCTCTCTGTGTAGTAAATACATCTGAGCTGCATTCAGTTGACATCCCCAAAGAGTAGACTGATGCTGGATACAAAATAAAAGCCAAAGGTCATTAAATCCTATCTGGGTGTTCCATATACTGGGTACTACAATTTTGTATACATTAGATATTTGGATCACTTCAATATCTAAATCTCTGTTTTGAATATCATTTTATCTTCCAAATATTCTTTAAGAAGATACGTGCACATAAGTGTCTTTACCTTTTTGGTTAAATAAATTCAATTCCTCTCAGAATACTTTCCTTCTTGTACCACATTGCAGTAGAGTCACACCCTAACTCTATATAGAGACTTATCTTTTCCTCAATTTCTTCTTCACATCTGTGTTTGTACAGATTTGTCATAGAAAGACAGAGCTTATACAGAGCTTTAGTAATTCCTGCAAAAATTATTAATTTATTGACGTTTGCACAAGGAGTATTTTCAATTAATAAATTCTGCTAAGAAACACCTTAGATAAAAATGCTATCATACTATTATTTTTTTTTTAATTTAGCATCCAAAATTTTGTACAAGGTCTGTATGTAGCAAAGTATCTTATTCAAAGGAAGTAAATTTATTTCAAAGCTATATGTTATTTGTCTGCAAATGGCAACTAAAGCTTACGGAATATGCTAGAACATATTAACAACATGCAATTTCATATCTGATTATTTGTGGCCAGTGAAACTAAAAGTCAACTTACGAACTCTTGGCTCACTTCACTCTAAGGGAACTATTTTCTAACACTGATAAAAGCAGAGATTTAAAAATAAGATATTGAATGTTCAATGACTCTGGTCAATTTGAACAGCATTTATATGTCATTACTGTTTTTTTGGCTCAAAGAAGCAAAACAAAAAATATGAGATTTCCACACTTATAATAATGATATAATTGCTTAGTTTTAGACTTCAGATAAAAATAGTACTTGGAATGCTTTCATTAATTTTTTTAAAAAAAACACATGAACTACAGATGCTCCATTTTGTGTTCTTATTTAGATTTGATATAGGGGAGCTTAGAAGCAACCTGTTATTTTAATGTGTGATTAAAAGAAGATAGATCTGAAGTGCTTAGTTTTACAAAATCAGAGATAAATTTTGGTATTCAGATCCATGCAGAGGACCTTAATGTTTACCTGAACTGTTAAATATATATATATATATATATATATATATATATATATATAATTTTTCAAATCCTCATCTGTAAATATATTGTGTAAATTTATTTTTTAAATATGTGCTGAAACATATTAGTGATAAGTGATTCCATAGTTTTCTTCTATCAATAGTTTATCCAGCCTCATGGACTTCCAAAACCATTCCTGATCCTCTTTGCAGAGAAAATTCACAACACCCAGACCCATAATACTTGTCCATGCATTACCCTCCTTCCAGGGTGAATGTAATCCAGAACTAGCATCATCAGAGCATGTATATCCAGACGTTACTCCCCATACCCCTCAGTGTCTCTTCACATTTAGCTGCACGCTGGAACACACACCATTATGAGATTTAAAAAGGATAAAGCAGCATCTGGAAAACTAAAACGTTGTAAAAAGCTTAAATTACATTTTATTCCTCAGGCTTAAAACACAAACTGAGAATTATTCAAATTAAACTTACTTACTTCCCATACCTCAAAATTATAATATGATAGCACAAGGCAATTGCAAACAGAGGTAAAATCCAAAATTTTGCACATGGGTAGAAACAGACAGAAAATGTCATGTAGTTTTTGGGGACACTAGATAATGATAAATTTAAAGAGCAAAGAAAAAACTCCCCTTTCAAATAATTATTTCATGTATTTAAGAATTCCAATATTTCTGAAATATATAGATGTGGTCAGTTTTAGAAAATAGGACAATTATGCTATAAATTCTTACTTCAAGACCAATAGCAACAACAACAAAATATTGTCTAAAACAATTTGAAAAAAAAAAGCTCCACCCAAATTCTCAGAAATTAGCTTATGAAAATATTAAAATAATTGGAATTGTGTACTATATATTTAAACAGTAGCTCATGAAATTCTGATAATATATTTTATGTGAGATGCATGTAAATATATATTTATGTGATAATGAAACTAGAAAATTAGATAAGCATCTGCAAGCTTTTAGGTAATTGAATGCTTTGCAGTTGGCAAAGCATTTTACAGATGCTCATTTAATCCTCACAACAACCCTGTGAGGTGGGCAGGGAAGTCATTGCCATCTCTACTTTGTGGGTTACACCCTGAACACAGAGACTTTTGAGGACATATCTGAGGATAACAAGTGTAAATCCCCTCTCTTTTTTTTTTCTTTCTTTGCTCCTAGTCCTACACATTTTCCTTGTTGATACTAAACTAATTATGAGTAAGACGGAGAAAATCTGAACCTGTGTAAGAAATAACAGTAAGTCAACTATGATTCTATGACATTTACATTCATTGGAGGATAGTCTTCTATTTTTGATGACTGCTCATGATGAAAATAAGTGAATTAGACTGAAGTATAAACCAGCCAGCAAAATGTTTGACAATTAATTTTAAATACAGAAATGATCAAAATTGCTGATTTAAATATAATAAAACAAGTGGAAAAAAGGAAAAAAAATATTCCCCAACATTTAGTGAAAGATAAGGTGTGTGGCTAGTTTTAAAATTAAATCATTCCCTGACATATCAGATATTTGTAACATACCTTAAACTATTCTTTCTATCCATTTAAAAATAGGTGTCTTCCTGTTAAAATAAAAGGGGGTGTACAGGATAGAGACCATAGTCTCGTGCTCAGTACAGCGCACAACTAGTGCACTGAAGTTGCATACATTATAGTGCAGGCAGCAAATCCCCATGCTCCATCAGTTTCGTATGGAGAAAAGAACTGGGGAGGGCAAAGGGAAGTGACACATACAAGTCCACGATGGAGTGGAAATATCTCATGTAATTTAAACACAAGACAAGGCTAATGAGATCTGTCACAATAACAGTGTGGTTCTCAAGGGTTCACCCAAAGAAGTGATAAAAGAGGTTGTGATTACCTTTGCAAGTTTCCTGTTTTAGTGTTACCACCCCTATAAGTCATAGTCAGCTTTTTGTTTAGTTTTGCTTTTGAAAAAAATAAATCACAAAATATTGAAACAAACATCATTGTTTGGCTTAATTCAGATATTTTTAGTAAACAGTACCACAGACTTTATTGAGCAATTGAAAATATACACAAGGAACAATAACTTTTTATTTGTATTGTCTTTTTTTTTTTCTTTCAGATTTGATTTTCTTCCAATTAACCCAGTTTCGATCATGAAAAGGGCACTTGTTTCTACAGGAGCTGTGTCCAGTCTGCTCAGTTCCAAGTACTGTTTCCACACGTCTTCCTTGTCATTGCTGAGGCTGTATCTCCATTTACTCAGGAAGCAAATTCCACAAAGTTGCAAGAATTTACCCCCTAAGTTGTTCTTTCAGATTCTATTTCTCCATAGAGTTCAGCTAACTTTTTAAACTCAGGTCCCCAGTCTCCAAGGTAGTGATAATCCTGGTCTGATTGTGTCGTTGCTGAATCCAGCGAGCTGATAGACCCAGCTTCTGATCTCTGACCCTCATAGGCATAAGTCTGAAGAGAGTCATAAGGGGGAACGCTAGGGTCTAGGTCTGCTTCTGCCAGTCTTTGCTTAATAAATTCCTGAACATCTATACTTTCCAGGGTGGACAATGTCTGGTGTCTAGGAGTGAGCTTCACTTCAGGTCTGATATCTCTCCGGTACTTGAGCTCCTCTGCAGCAGAGGGATTCCTCAAGGCTGTGATGTCAAAGGCCTCCGTATCTTCCTCTCCGCCTCCCTCGTCATCATAGGTGACCACGTTCTCCCGTACATCCTCCTCTGAAATGATCAAGGGTTCTTTTTTGCTGCGCCTCAGGGTGATAAAAAGTACCACAATGGCTGAGGAAAAATAGAAAAAGGATGAAGATTTAAGAAAACAGGAAGGAAATTCTTAGAGATTTTACATCAGCCATTTCCCATTTTCCCATTCCCGAGTTAGGCTTGCATTGAAGCAAAATCCCCTCTGTGCCGTCTGAAGGACACCGCAAGCTATTTTAATGCCTCAAAGAATGTAAAAGATGATTACCCCAGGAGACACTATGAATCGCTGATCTTCTATAGAAAATCACAATACTTTCAGTTTACCAGGATTCAGGTTTTTTGATTCATATTTCAGTGTAACCATTTAGTGATTAAAGTGAGATTAACACACGATAAAAAATATGAAATTTTAACTAGGAAAACAATGTAGTGAACTGGTCTCTCTATAGATATTTAATTCTTATAGGTGTATACACTAAAGGAAAGATGTAAGAAGGAGCCTTAACGTTAAACCCTTTAAATTTTGATGCTTTGTGGAAAATCAAAGCAGAAATATTTTAATGGTTGATCTCCTTTGTCTATTATCCTTTAAAATTATACTATCATGCATTAATAACTGCATTTTTTTCCATTCAGCTGCAAAATAATTTTACATTATTTGTACACAATTTGTTTCATAGGAATTTTTTGATTTATGAATTTTCTTTAAATAACTTATTTATTTAATCCTCACAGCAGAGCTGTGGCTTTAGTCAATTTTTAACACATTTATGCCTGAGGTTGCAATTATTTGTGTGTGTGAAAAATCAGACCTTGGCAATAACCTTGAGCAGTAGAATATAAATAACTCCCACAAGCCTAGCATTCCAATATTGGAACACTAGATATAAATGAGAATGAGAAATCTGAGACTCAGGAAAGAGTATCCGAATAACTAAGATCAAAAGATAATAGCAAGTAGAAGAGCTTGTACCATAACGTGATTTCTCTCATCACAGATAATGTTATTTCTACTAAAATAATATTCTACTTCAGTATTTCAAAGACATGAAATAATAAACTAAGTGGCCAATTGGACATGTGGCTTAGGGTAGCTCTTGCTAAATATGGTGGATTTGTCTTTATTTCCAACAATGCTGCAAACATTAGAAAATATGATAGAAATGTGTCTTGGGAACTGGGCTTTGGCCATTTATCAGTATTTTCAACTGTTTCTATTCGATGATATTAAACTATTACTAAAGAGAAATAGTTCCCTCACATCAACTTTGTTACAGGCTGTGTTATTAGGCTGAGTATTATTTACTTCAGCTCTATAGACAGCTCTTTTCTTGCTTAGCTGATAGTCTAGGCTTTATGAGAGTGATAATGATGTCCATTAATATTTTAAACATTCTTTACTTCATAATAATTGTGGAGGTGCATTCAATTGACATCTAAGGTTGTTAAACTTAGCAAATAAAAATAAATGACAGGATTCTCAATTAAACGTGAATGAGATCAATAACAGCACAGATGCACACACACACACACACACACACACACACACACACACACACACACACAGGCTTCTTAAACTACATTGAGCTTACATCCCTATTAAACCCACTGGAAGTTGAAAATATATTAAATCAAAACTGCATTTAACACACCTAATTTAGTAAACATTATAGCTTAGCCTAGCCTACCTTAAATGTGCTCAGAACACAATAGCCTAGAGTTAGGCAAACTTATCTAACACAAAGCATATTTATAATAAAGGTATTATAAAGAATTTTGAATCAGAATTCAAAATAAGGTTTGTATTGAATGCATATTACTTTCACATCCTTGTAAAGTCAAAAAATCTTAAGTCAAACCATTGTACGTTGGAGACCATCTGGAACGCAGACACACACATAGACACCCCCACCACACACACACACACACACACACACACACACAAACACACACATAAAGATATTAAGTATGTACCATATATTTGGAATACACACACAGTCAAATATTCTGCTAAGCATACACGCATATGTTCCAAATACTATTATTCTATGTGACATATTTATATTATATATACATATATATCTATATATAGATATAGTTATATTTCCTATTTATCTGAAATTCACAATTATCTGGATATACTGCATTGTGTCTGGCAAACCTGATTGTAAGTGAACTTCAACAAATGGTTGTGAAGCAAACAGCAGGTTATCTAACCTCTAAGAAAGAACACTTTCCCCCCAGGAACTGCCCTTTTACAGCTTACCTCTGCAAAGTGACTTTTATCTTTACTTTTATCGTTATTGTTACTTTGTTCTTCTTTATAGCTTTACCAGTTTAATGAATCCTTCTAATCGATATGAACTGCTTTTATCTGTTATAAGACTAGAGAAAACTTCAGGAAGAGGAGTAGATTTTTAAGGCAGAGGTGGAAAGGATAATGAGAGAGAGGGATGGTCACCATGTGCTGGGAGGTGTCCAGTTGCGCAGAGGAAAGGCGAAAGAGAGACTATGAAGGAACCAAAAAGACAGGAAAAAAATCTGTAGAGAAGGTCATAGAATCATCCAGAAAACTGTGAAATGAAAGGATATTAGCACTGGGAAGGTAATGAGAAAATTCAATGAAGGTCGCTACAGCAGACATGGGAAGCATTGCAAGAGTCCCTGTTGTTTGAAATGAAGTGGTTACAGAAAGCTGAAAACGAAATGCTGATGCTACACATGGCTTGATCTACAATATTATTCACAGAAAAATAGATTTGCCCATATACATTGCCTATACTTCGAAAACATTAGTTTATACACCATTTTACCTTGGGGTAAAAAAGGCTTTTGCTGAACACAGTAAATATGCATTTCATAACTCCTCGTGTATTTTAGCATAAATCCACCTTACAGCTTTCTAATTCAAAGCCTTAAACAACATCCTCCAGTAACTCACTCCACTGTATTCAGATGTTTTGATTTATCATGCACTATGTATCTCTGTTCATCTTTATAATTAAATGAGGAGACTGGTCGAGATCGAAAGACCTATTTATACAGACTTCCTAATTTATTATAGTACAATTTCTTACTTTCATCAATAAATCAAGTTATTTTCTTTTATATTGAATTGGTTGGTGGTTGATGTGAAGGGAGTTTCTGTGCAGGCACATCAGGGAATATATAATCAATACTGCTATAGAGGTATGGAGGTAATTTGCATCCTTTGATAATTGTGTAATTTTTCAGTCTTTGTATATATATCATATTCACTTAATGAAATACAAGGATAATCCTGGCTTTTTAATTACTATGGCATATAGTTTCTTATTTCTCAAAAGCTAAGAAAATAATCCTGATATATTTTGATTCAAAATATAGAGACCATTTACATGTGAACTTTGAAGGTTTACATCTACCTTTTCCCTACAGAAGGTAGCATTTGCTATCTTTCTGTGTATTATTTGCTTGTATTCCGTGAGTCTTAGACTTGTTACACACTTATTTAATAATAGGATCAATATAAAAATAACCAAAATCTGAGACACTTTTGAGTGAGAGGGGATGTTGTTTATAATTATGTCAGGACATCAGGGCATAGGCAGATACAGGATCCCTCTAGTTAAAAGTAAATTCAAATCAACTCAGTGAAGAATGTTGAAACATGGATGATACACTGTGTTCCTGATGAAGTTATTTTCATGCCTGTTGGTTCACCAGGTACTTCTGGAGCAGACGGCACCAGGTACATACTCCATAAACAATTTTCATGTGGACAAACAAAAAACTAATCTCTGTGAAAGTGATAATGTGACATTGGGTTAAATGAATTCTCCTGAACAGTAATAGCCTCACCAGGAAAATAGTTTTAAAATATTTTTTAAAAATTAGCTTATGGTTACTAATAACATCAAACTCCTAATTGTACTGAAGAATATTTCTGAATGTTTGAAAAACAAATGAAATGTTTCCAAAAAAAAATCCTAAGACCAAAGGATATTTTAAAAGATGAGTGCAGATAATAACTGTACATATAAATAGTCAAACCCTTATTTAAAAACTAACAGTCAAACGAATGCATTCACGTGACCCTGCTAATCTATCAAACCATACACGTGGGCAAGATATCTCTTCTTACAGTGAATCATCTGGTAAAACACAATATAAAAGAACCAAGGTAGTGTTACTATATATACACACACATATATATAGATAAATTGTTTTTCTTTGTACAAAATCATAAATAATTTCTGATATATTTCATAGCCAATTTTAGTTGCATAATTTGGATTGAAACTTGAATAAGCTGTAGTTTTTTTGAGATGTCTTAAATCTAAATAAATATTTCATCCTTGGTTAGTAAATTTCTTTTTCTTTTGCTCAAGTTCAGGCAGAATTTTAAACACCCTGGAAATTATCATTTAATATTATAAATTAGAATAAATTTGTGGAGTTTTATGAATTAATTTTATTATTAAGTAATTCAAAGCTGGGGAAACATTTTTGGATTTGTTTTCTCATAAGGTGTATTTATTCCTGTATAGTATGTTTCATCCCTGTGCTTGGCATTCTAAGTGGCTTTCAGTTCCCATAATTTAAACTATCATACAACTTGCATTTGAACCCATTACATACTGAATCTCAACATACTGCTCCCTAAGAAGCTTTCATAGCAGAATTTTTTAACCCTCAAATATCATTTGATTCTTTGTCACACCGTTATATGTTGGCACTAAATTTGGTAGAATTGATGTGTCCTGAGTTGAGGAGGTCATTTTGATTAGCTTAAAGAGTACGATTTGTCACACTTGGTAGTGGCATCTCTTTCTGAAACCTTAGATTTTTAAAGAAACAGTAGTACACAAAACCATTGAAATAGCTCAGATGAAAAGCAGGCTGACTTTTATCTCCTCATCAATCCCGTCTTCTTCTCTTATTCCACCACGTGTTCACACCAAATCCACTCTCATCCCAATGTATCAGGAAATTAATATGCAAGACAGGGATTAATCCATGGCTCACTTACAGTGGCCTCACTTAGGTCACCTGCTTATACAGGTGATCTGGAGAAGTCTAGACCCTTATACAGGGGTCTGGACTGAAAGGGTAGCTGGAGGAGTTCCCAGTCAGATCCTGACTCAATGACTTATGCCAACTTTGATCAAGGTTTACCTTGCCAACTACTCTAGTCTCACTGGCAAGAGATGGGGTAATGTTGAAAAATACAAGTCTTCTAAGGAAGAGAGGGCTTCTGCTACCTCTACTGTCATGGTAAATTCTGACCGCATCATAAAGACTCACTCTAAATCATCTTCCATCTATCATATACAATAGACATAAAAATGGTCATCTCAACAGAAAATAACCCAAGTCATGTTCATATCTATCATTTAAGTTAGGCGCTTAGATTCACAAGCACCTTTCAACATATAGATAGATGAATTCTGACCATGTTGTAAAATGTTGAACCATATGTCATCTTTAATAAAACAAAAATAAGTATTACAAAATTCTACAGATGACTCTAAGGGCCTTTCAACTGAAATGCCATTTTCACAGGTTTGGAAATAAAAATAAGAAAGACTGAATGTGTGGTCTGAGATCACGCAGTTAGTGGCAAAACTAGGGCTGGGTTTGTATAATCGCAGCCATTTTCACAAATAGGAAGCTGAGATGGAAAATACTTTTAATATTAAAATATTAATTTTACAATTTACGTAGCTGTGAGGGTTTAACATTATTTCAGAATTACAAGCTCAAAAATAAAGTTTTGCTACCTTTGGTTTTGTCAATATTTTAGTTGAAAATCATAATCTTACAAATTAACATTATTTTAAAATTACAGATAACTATATCCTATATGCCTTGGCTAGATACTTTCTGAATAACAATGAAAACTTATCAATGCCGTGAAAAGCATGCACTGCTTTATAATATATAACTGTAGTTACAATGCATATTTTCACTAATTTTATTAGTTGAAACTCAAATATGCTTTTATAGCATCTTCTCACCAATTCCATCTTCTTCTCTTAGTCCGCCATACATTCCCATCAAATCCACTGTGATCCTCATTTATCCAGAAATTTATATCCAAGATTAGGGAACAAGCCTCACCTAGGTCACCTGCTTATACATGAGGTATGGACTGAAAGGGTAGCTGGAAGAGGTTCCAGTCAGATCCCAGCTCAACTATGCTTTTACTGTATATTTGAGTTTCAACTAATAAAAATGAAAAAATAAACATATAGGAAATTTATTAGTCTTGAGGAATATCACAAAATTTACAAACATTCTATTACTTATCCCAAATGAGAAAACATTTTCATAAAAAACCAAATATAAGGAAGTATCATTTCATGAAAACATAAAATATGCTTTCAAATAATGCACCTCAAAAATCTACCTAGACTTTTAAAGTGTTAATTACATTTTTGGTATTTATCTTAGCAAATGAAAATAATTTTATGATGATAAATGAGCACGATATCTGAAGACAACATGCTTCACCCGAGTGATCTATTTTTAAGAATAAGAAGGTCAGAAGAACTCTCATTAACATCCCTGCCTTCTATTCTCTGTGCCTTCAATTAGGACCCCAGAGAGTTACAGGTTAATTGTTGAACAGTTTTGTTTTCTCTTTCTGGAGTATTTGTGCTCTTTTTCTTTTTCTTTTCAAATACCAAAAAAGCCGAAGCATGTTTATATCTAAAGGAAATAGCCGTTCTGACCAATAAATATACAAAGTTTCTAAAGTCTCTTTTCCAGACTTTCCTCTCCACCACATATCTACTCTACATATTTATTTGTTTTTATATATTTATTTATTTTTGAGACAGGGTCTCACTCTGTCACCTGGGCTGAAGTGCAGTGGTGTGATCATGGCTCACTGCAGCCTCCAACTCCCGGGCTCAAGGGATTCTCTCACCTCAGCCCCCCAAGTAGTTGGGACTACAGGTACATGCCACTATGCCTAGCTAGAAAAGACTTGAATGTAATGAAACAGTTCTTGCTATGGTGCACCAAACTTCCATGCTTTATGTGCAATTGATCATTTTGGTGCTCAATTTATTGAACTTGTAAGCATCTTTTGACTTTGTGGACAACATCTACACAGCGTAATGCTCTATGATACCCTATTTTCCCTCACTTTTGTGACATTATACTTTCCTTCTTTCTACTCTGACTTCACTGACTTCTGTTCATCTCATCCTTCTTATTTAGCATTTATCTTGTAGTTTTCACTGCTCAATCACAATCCACTGTCTCTCTACATATATTCTCTTGCTGGGTAACTTCAATGTCCCCTAGCTCATGGTAGCTCAGGATCTACATTCAGCAAGATAAAAGAAGTTGTATTTGACGCCATTCTAACTCATGCAGATATTGACATTATCAAAGATCATTTCTGAGTCCATTTAAAGTAGCTTGATACTATTCACTTTTCCTCAGGTCTGTTATGAGTATGCTACTCCAATACATGCTATGTCTAAGGGAGACAAGGGCAGAGTTTTCCTGAGTGGTTTTCCTACATGCTTTTTTGCCACCAAGAGTTCTAATCTCCATTTCATTTTTGCAAATTGAAGATTTTACAATGGGGCCCTCTAGCTTAAAATCTTTCTTTATCCTCCTAAAACAAAACTCACCAGCTTTGCCATGTCCCGCAAAGCTCAGGACACTCTCAAACTTTCCTACAAATCCTTTCTCCTTTCCAGGCTCATTACACTTTAATCTCCACTCCATCTATACACATTATTTGTCTTCACCCCCAAGAACAAAACAAGAAACATATTTTTGCAAGAATACTTCTTTCTCAGAAAAGCAGTCAGCTTTTTTTAGGTGGCATAACAAGAATAAAAAACACACAGTACCATAAAAAGAATAAAAAAACAGACTGCTAAGAGAAAGAAAAAAGGGTTAGGACACAGGTGCTAACTTTATAAAGTGGAAAGATTCCTTACAGCCATCTTTCTTGTTATTACAATACAGATTTGCTACCTTGTTTCAAAGAGCAAACTAAAGAGTTTATAATTATATCAGCTCCTCATGCAGTAGTGAAAAGATGCAGATTATTACAACAGATAAAGTGTTTGATTTTTTAATAAAGTAAACTGTAATGAAAATTTCAGCTTAAAAATCTATTGTTTTTAAGGAAGTATAATTGAATTTAATAAAATTTAATATCTAAGGTCAAAACATATTTAGTATGTTAACAACTCAGCTGACATTAATGATTAACTATTTTGAACTAGAAGTTTCCACAAGATGTCTATTTTTTGACTTTCCTATTAGTTTTATGATTTATTCATTTACATATTGAATCTGTGCAACATAATGATGTTTTCCCAATAACAGTTTTCACTCTTAGTACATAGTGAGATGCTTAGTACAGTCAAGCAAGTTAATGTATCTGTCATTTCACATACTTACACCCTCTTTTTCACAGGGAGGAGAGAAAACACCTAAAGTTTACTGTCTTTGCAAATTTCCAATACATCACAATAGTGTTATTAACTAACGTCCTTTTGATGTGTATTAGATCTCTACATTTACTCATCCTATGACCATGTGACCCTCACCCTCATCCTGAATGAATGGCTGACCTCCTCTGATCTCAGAAGATAAGCGGGCTGGGGTCCTGGTTGGATTCATTTAGCATGATGCCACTTAAGTTCTTGAAACAGAAATTTTAAAAGTTCTTTCAAGATTGGATTCTGAATATTTTAATATTCCTTCTTAAGCATACGCTTTGAAAAGTTATTCCTTCATCTATTATTTCAGTTCTTTCAACACTTCAGTTCTTTCAGAAGGACAGAAATGAATAACTTGCAACACTGAAAGAACTGAAATAACAGAAGTGTCTAATTATTTTGAGATTAATGACAGTATTTAGAAATTAATTCAAAGGAAATTGGTGCAGCTGTTTTCTTACCCACGTTATGGTTGCCTTATGTATGTTTAATCCTTAAGTTTGTCAAAAGGATTCCCTCTCATTCAGAATTGCCATCATACAAATTTGGGTTTAGAATGACTTACCCAGGAGAATGAGAACACACAGAAGAATAGCGATTAAGGCTCCTGTACTCAAACCAGCCGAGGACAGGAAGGCTTCTGCATGGCAGGTCCGCACGCGCCCATCTCTCTCGCATGCACAAACCCTGATGGTGAGGGTGCTGCTGCTGCTGAGAGAGGGGATTCCACCATCAGAGATCATAATGGGCAGATAATACACATCCTGAACAGTTCGACTAAATCTCCTCCGCCTTGTCAGAATGCTGGCTGTGTTATCTATGACAGACATAAGCAAAACAAAAGAAACTTAGTCAAGCCGCCATTCACGATTCACATTTGCTTTAATGGATAAAATGGGGATGTGTGACTTTCACGTTTCAGTTTAATGAAATGGACAAGGAAACATGAAGGGGCAATTACTAAAGAGAAGCTAATATTGGTTCTCCAACTGAGAAACCTATTTAGAAAAATTAATACAGCCACACTAAAGATAAAGGAAAATAGTAGAAAGACAAAGGAGGGAGGAAGTTACGAACCTTTTGGACACAGACCTAACAGCTACAAGATTTAAAGGTATACAGATGGCCTGAAGTCATATACTTAGGGTCCTATACTTTGAGGTGAGCCAAGGAGATTTTCCCCAAACCTAGTGATTCTGAATATACGTGATAGGAGCACAAATCTGTATTTTTAGCAAACTATTCAGGTGTCATTGATGCATAAAAGAGATTTAAGAACTACTGGTTTAGATGATATTTCTATGGAGACAGTAGATCAAGCAACAAACTATTTTAGACTTAGCTGTGATTTGAAGCACTATTGTTTGACCATGGGGAATTTAAGGTGAATAAAATAGTTAATCATCTTTCTAAGACTGTGTTTATTAAATTCAATGTACTACAGCAAATGCCTGCATGATGTATTGTGTTCAATCCATAAAACCTTGTGAGGGACAGGGTGCTAAATACTTTAATTTATAGCTGAGAATAATTTTATTATAAATACTAATTTAAAAATAGATAACCCTGGTCTCAGAGTGTTAGTTGCCCCAAATCACAAAGCTAGTAAATGATACAGATAAAACCTCTATTCTAGAAGCCTGATGAACACTACAGTGTCACAGTGCCCCATCCCCAATTCGCTGCCAGGTGGTATTCATGTCCTCAGTGCACATGTTTCGTTGCACTGTTATTCCTCATCCCTCAGTGCATATTAGCTGAGAACACATGCAGTCCATACTTGGATGTACTGTTCAGATTCCTTCATAAAATTACCTGTCGCCCTAGCTATAGATTGCCACCTGCCCCCAGGTCACACCCTTCTGAAATAGCATATAACTAACGACTCACTGCTGAAAGGTTACAAAAGTTGGGACATCCACCTTCTATATTACTGACAATACTGAGAAACAACTTTAGCTACAGAGCTTTTCCATGGGGTCAGCCATTAAGAGTCATTAAACCTGAACGGCAGCTCCAGGTGTCACTCTACCCAGTCCTTCTTCCTTCTCCTGTGATCTACTGATGTTGATCCCAATGGCATATTCCACTAACACCTGCACTCCAAATGCCAATTCAACTGTGGGGAACTCAACATGCAGCTATATCTGTGAGTTAATTATTCTGCATTGCAAAGTAAGTGGGTCATTAGATAATCACAATTAGGGCTTCTTTTTCTCATATCAATGTCTTTTATTCTGAAAACTGAAATTGTATTTCATATAGGTACATTTATAACAGTCACAGTGCAATACCCTACAATGATATTATTTATTGTACATTACTAAATTAATATATTAAAAAAATATTTTTCAAATATTCAATGTACTACATATAATAAAACAGGAAAATATACATACACATATGATTGAGTTCCTGAAAATCAGAAATTAAATAATGAGAAACTGAAAAAATTTTCTAACTCAGTGAAAGAGGAATTTTTTAAAACTACATCAGCTGTCTATTCCTAAACATGTCATAGGATAAAGAAAGAAGCAGCAGAGGAATGACGTCATGTGTATTATATAATAATTCACCAGTCATGGGTACTTTTCCCAGAAAACCTGACCTTTGTGGAAACATATCTATCAGCTGTAGGATGTTGAATCATAATTAATGTAAGTCTTTATGGGATATGTATGGAATAAGTATTCATGGGCACAAATATGTCTGAGAATCTCACAGCTGCTCCTCTGAAGAAGAGATGTGAGGCAATAAATGTTATGCCATTTCATATGTTATTATTCATGTTTCCCTGAATCTCCGGAAAACATGAATAATAACATGTAAAATGACATAACATGCCATGTAGATAGTGATTCTTTCATGGCTCAGGCCTAGCGTGTGCCTCACATTAACACTCTTGAAGCATGCTATTTTTCAGGATAACTATTAGAAATGCAATCAGAAACAAGACAGATGCCAGAATATGTTTCTAGTGCATTTTAAGTCCCGAAACAGAAATCTCTAAGACATAAAGACATAAAAATCTTTCTTCTTTTTTTTTTCCAGTTAAAAGTTTTCATTTTTTAAAAGAAAAGAGGATTCAGTAGGCAAAGAGCTTCCCACCTAGAAAGGCTTAGCACAGCAGAATAATGAGGTTTTGACAAGGAATATTCTGTACCTCACTGGAACAGCAAAATATGTACTTGGCAGAAGGCTCACTGAACTTGAACAAGAAAACTTTGAACACTGAGGAAGAATGTGCAAGGAAGAAGAGATATATATATATATATATACACACACACAAATATATATATATACACACATATGTGTGTATATATATGTGTATATATATATGTATATATATACATATACATATATATGTATATATATGTGTATATATATATATATATATATATATATATATATAAACACACCACACAAAAATACACATAAGTACATATATATATATATATACATATTAGACACAATAAAATACGTCTTGCTGAAGCTGCAAAATTAGGCAACAAGACCGATAACAATTCTCTAACATGATATGCAATGGTTAAAAAGTAAATAAGATACTATAGAAAGTCTCAAAAGGCATCCAAATGAATAAGAAAAATTAGTATGCACTGAATAAAGAGAAAACATAGCAGGATGGGACATCTGTGGATGAGAAGGGCTGTCAATGTCAATCTCTAATAATGTGCACCATGGTTGGGTTCTTAATTCTCACTCTCTATAATTTGAATGAAGTCACCGGATTATAAAATACTTGAAAGCGGAGCTAGTAAAGCTAATGTATTAGATTAAGATTCAAAGAGATTTTGTATAGCTAGAACAAAGAAATTTAACAATAAGACACAAAATAGAAATGCAAATTAGAGGGTAGACTTTGGAAACTATCAATAGGAAAGGTCTTGAATAGCAGGTATTATTTCAAAATATAGATAGATGACTGATAGGTAAATAGTTAGCTAGGTAAATGATAGATTAGATAGATAAATATAGACATATAGTAGTAAGTCTTTAGCACTGTCAAACAAAATAAACAATCAACATATAGTAGTAAGTCTTTAGCACTGTCAAACAAAATAAACAATCTGAAAGCCTTCAATAATGATTAGAAATTCCTGCTTCTCATTATTGAAAGGACTGCTGCATTGGAGTACTGTGCGTAGTTTTGGGTTTACTACATGAAAAGTGAAATTTTAATCCAATAATATGTGTTTAGAAGACTTTGAGACAGTAAAAATGTTTGAAAAATTTTTCACATTAAGAATTCACAGAATGTTTACATGTCATATGTAAATTTTGTTAAAAAAGATATCCTGAAAATGTCCGGAACATTTTGGTAAACTTTTTAAATGTGATTTTTCATTATCATCAATATGTTTCTAGTATTTGTAGAAGCTAAGTAAAACTTTAAACTAAATACAACTGTAAACTAAGTACAACTTTAAACTAAGTACTTTAACTAACTTTAAATACAACTTTAAACTAAGTAGACCCTTAGTTTAAATCAGAAATAGTTTTGCGCATATTTTGTTTCTTTTTTTTTTTTTTTTTTTGAGACAGAGTTCTTGTCACCCAGACTGTAGTGCAATGGTGCAATCTCGGCTCACTTTAACCTCTGTCTCCCGGGTTCATGTGATTCTCCTGCCTCAGCCTCCCCAGTAGATGAGATTACAGGTATGTGCCACCATGCCCAGCTAATTTTTGTATTTTCAGTAATGACAGCGTTTCACCCTGTTGGCCAGGCTGGTCTCAAATTCCTTATCTCAGATGATCCACCCACTGTGGCCTCCCCAACATCTGGGATTACAAGTGTGAGCCATCATGCCCGGCCTCATTTTGCATATATTTTAATATTTCAAAATAGATGACAATGCATTATTTATTGTAATATGATTCCACTTCCTGTTCAAAAAGGATGTGTACACAAACAGGAGGGAGCAGGGAGATTGTCACACACACATATGTAATATCAGACTCATGCCTACACTCTAATAATATCCTGTGATAACTGAAATAATTGAAATTTAATTCCTTTGAAAAGCAATCATAACAATATACATAATTGCTTCATCTTTGTAGCAATAAATGTTCCAAAGATGTTTATAATCGATAATAATTTTGAGGGGCTCTTTCACAAAAATATTTGTCATAAAATATATTGTTAGGTAGTAATGCATTCAACTTCTGTACTTCCACAGGGATAGAAGATCACAGAATATGGTAGTGTAATACAAGTCACATGGTCCCAGAGATCAGGTATAGTTTTCTTGAGCTACTATTATCTGTCTCATTTTTTTGGTTCAATCTTTTGAAAGACCTTGCAGAATAGACTTTATATGCCACCTTTGTAAAGTAAAATACAGTTTAAGTTAAAATAAAGCATGCTTTTAAAATAAGTTTGGGTCCAAAAATAACTCCTATTTTTTAATCAAAAATGACTTTATAGCTGAGAAAATATTAAAAACTATGCTTTTTCTGAAACTGAAATTATTTGACATCTATGTACACTCAGCTATTTCAGCAAATTCCATTTTTGATAATGCAGGCAGAAAGATGTATTTTCTTTCAAGCATAGCCCGACCATTAAAATAATATTTCCAAATCTATCAGAGCAACAGAAACATCTGAAATCCTCAGAAGTGGATCTGTAATTAGACCCAAAAAAATGTTTAATGTATATAAAAAGAAAGCTGAGAAATGCACCTCAA